GCATGAACAACCTCAAAAGAGAGGAAAAGAAAACACCGGTATTCCTTAACCTAACCTTAAAAGAAAATTCCTCAGGCACATTTTCGTACTTATAAGAATAATTATCAAACAACGAAGGAATACGAAATAAGAGCGAATAATGAAACAAACCGACTTTTGGGAGAAGAAGAAAATATACTATACAAATATTTACAAATAAAGGGAAATGAGCTGGTGTAGACGATGATATAATAGATAGGTATTATCGCAGTTTTAATAATTTTGCTTCTCCAGTATGCGCATCTCTCCTTTACCTCCGGCTCCTGTTCCTGTTCTCTGCTTTTGATTGATGTTTTATTTTTGTTCAAGCTATATTATATATATGTATATGACGGGCGACCAATAAGAAGTATTGGAGAATTAAGAAATAGGTGAAGTAGTAATAGTAATGGGGAATGCGTATCAAAAAACCGTGATTATCATGTTTTATCGTGAGTGTAGTATAATAGGTACATATTATATGTGTTTTATTACTTCATGCGAAGTTAAAGTCTAAACATGTTTGTGTACATTGGAGTGAATAGACGAATGGGGAAATAATGAAATATCTATAATATGTGTCATAACTGTCAGTGCAGTCTAAAATACCCAAAGTTTGTTTAACTGATCGAAATCAATAATTTATATATTCAAAGCCATAATATTGAGTTATTTTATAATATTATACGTTGGACTTAAGGAAGATTAATKGTTTTGGAGGAGAGGGCGAGTTCACCGATAGTCACCTCTTTCTAGATCTGCCATTGCAAAGTAGGTGGATGTCAATATATAAATAGAGTATTCTTTTGGAAGTATAATATTATATTTTAAGCGACGTATACAGGACCTCCTATACCGAYGTCCCGATTTTCATGCGAACGATCGAATACGGGCTGCCTCTTACGCGCAACGCGGGCCTTTTATGAAATGGCTTAAGACATTTTTATCTGCAAGGAGGCAAGATGAGAGGCTAGCTGAGACCTAAGCAAGAAGTACTCTTAACATCTGAGCTCCCTCCAGCAAATCAGYAGAACGGGATTCCAGGCCGGCGGGTGTGTGCAACACCGGGCCGAGAATAGGATCGATAAACGGGACTGATATCATATTTATCCACGTATATTGTTTAGTAGTAGGTGAAGAAGTGCAGGAGACAATTTCTGTTAATTATTTGCGCTATGTATATTCGTTTGCTAAGTATTGTGTTTAAATTTTTTTAATGTTATTCATCAATAAACGATGGCAGCAGAGGAGTAGCATTGTGCAAACATACTCTCCTCTGCTGTCGGTTATTCTAACTGGGAAAAAAAGTACAATATTACAAACTTATATTGTAGTCACTATSAAGGTGTTAATTAATTTAATTTTACTGCACATGTATCTGGCTAGAATATATAATATAGGTACGCATGGCGTTGTGTAAATAATATCGTATAAAACATATACATTTTAGCATAGATAAATAACATTTATAAGATTATAATAATACGAAACGCGCAGGGACAGAGGGTTTTTGTTTTAACACATTTTATTAATAACATAAGTATACATATATTACCAATCTACGACTCTAATACCGAACCGTACATATAAAAACTATCGTACAACAYTTTGTACGCAATATTTCATTATTCTGCAGCCAATTAACTAAACACAAATAACAWTTAATTTTTTGCACCGCAATAACATATTATCACAATAAGATAATCAGATGTCCCGCAAATACYTCAGCGGACAGAAGCCAACAACTCCGAAAAATCCMGAAGACCGTTCAGATTCGTCCAGCCGCAGCAACWACGTCTCGCCCGGCATCGTTTATCAGACGGAAAGTTATGATGCCGACGACGAAAAATCATCAGGTTCGTCGTTGCCCACACGGGAACCGCATCCTCTGTTGCAGTCATCTCCGCGGAAAAAGTTCCCTCTGAAGCGGAAAAAACCTGTGAAACCCGCCGTTGCAGAAGTCGAGGACAACGATCATCAGCTTTGCAAAGACTCATCAGTGACACCCGTGCCGGACCACAACAAATCTGTATAATAATAACAATGGAAACACGTTGTAAATTATGTTTATCAGCTACACGCGGCCTCATTTAATATATAATATATTATAAGAAATATTTAAAAACCGTAGGTACGAAACAACAATTAAAAATAAGCACCTCCAAAATTCAATTTCTGAGTCCATCGGTTAAGGAGATGTATAGGTATTAAATATTTTAAAAAMAGATACGCAAAAATGAAAATACAGCATTGACAAAACAAAATTATACTGGAATAAATAGGAGTAGGTATAGGTATTTATTTTGAGTTAGGTAAATAGTCGGTTCTGCGCCATCACCACCTCCCCCCCCCACGGACCACAATCGGTAGAGTGTGTTTGGTGAGTGTTAAATTACAGTATTAAACAATAATTACTACATTATCTATATGGCTAAGTTAGAACTAGAACATGACAAGAGTTAACTGTATTAATGTATTATCGTGCTGATATAAAAAATATAAGTGTATCAATATCAACGCTAAGTCGGTATCAGCTATTATGTTAAATATAAATATATATTAATATACACGATAATTCGGAACGGACGATGCAGTGATGACAGAATAGAATATACAGAAAGACATGTAACATAATATAATAATAATCACCGCACACACACATTATGATGAAGATGACCACCCCGTTCGCTGCGGAAACGTGCCCTCGAGTCGATGTCCGGCATTTATGTATGCCGTTTTTGTTAACATAACGACAATCGCGTACCATTTTYCCGGATCGTCCGATGAACACAATGCTCACGGTACAATTCGTATACACACCCGGACGTGCAAATATACGCTCTTCATTATATTATAAATTTATAACACGAGCACGCTATACCCGAACTTGGGCTGGATGGGCGTGCGGGAGTGAATGGGTTGACCATCAGCATCACCGCAGAAGCGCGTCGTATTGTGTTTGGGATAATACAATAATAATATATAATATAATAATCAAATTATTGTCACGACGTCCACCGGATATCGATCGTGACCAAATCTGTCAGTATTCTCGTCGACCGCAGATATATATGTATATAATATATATATACTCGTATATTTAGAGAGAGAGAGAGTGAGAGAGAGAGATTAAAAATATATGTGTGTGTAGGTGTAGAGCGTACGACGATAAATGTGCAGTTTTGAAGGGATTTCGGGAGCTGTGAAACGATGTTTTGACAATAAACGAGTTTCGCAAAATGGTACGTGACCATCGCTAAAGGAACGTAGGAACGTTGTACATCCTRCRCTGCTAGCTGATTATACTAATATTTTTCCCGGAACGGCGACGGGTCGATTATGTTGTACATTATAATAAGCAGAGATAGGTACTATTATTATTTTTTCAAAAAGACGAATGAACACAATAATATGATATAGGAGTATAGGGCCGTAGGTCAGAGTAAAGGCTAGTGTACAGATTGTTAGTGTTTAGGCGGTTGTAGTGGTGACGTTGACCGCTAGACCTGTGTCGACGACACGAAAACACGACGGTGTTGTTATTATTATATTTTATATTATTTTTATTTATATGATACGATTTTTGTTGTGTATACACAATTATAATAATAATAATACAACCTCTCTAGACAAGTTGTCTCTCAAAATGCAGGAAATTTACACTACACAATTCACCGATTCACCGATTCACAATAAATACACCGCACACGTTTTTGCAATCGTGTATATTATTATTATTATTATTATTATTACGGTATGATTCACACACGCGTGCGTGTGAAATATATTATCTAAATGGGATATAGCTGGGACAGCTGCTGGTCGCAAATAATAATATAAGTATTATATAGAAAGGAAAAAACGACGAATCCGATACCCGTCTGACGTTTTCCYATTACTATTATAATATTGCCCACATATACAAATTTAGTATAATATATAGATATTAGGTAATAGGTGTAGCTACATACTGGCGTGAATTGAAGTTAAAGTATGGAATAAGGTATGGAATGGAATATCGGTATTTTTGTGTAAGTTAGTGCATATTTTAATAATTATTAGAAAGACAAATTTTCGCAAGAGAAAATTATCACAATGACATCATAAACGTATAAATAAATAAACTATGAAATGTTTGTTGTATGTTATATAAAAAGTCAAGGTAATAAAATAAAGTTAGTTTTAAGTACCTATGTTAGGTTTTGCCATTATATTT